ATAACCCAAGCCGTCACAAATTGATTTTGTGAATAACCATTTCTCATGTGTAGTTTGTCATTTTTCCAAAAAACAAAGAATCTTTTTGGCGCAAAAACACTTTGCCTAAAACGTTCACCATCACAGAAGTTATTAATAATAAATAAAATATATATATGTATACGTATATTTGCCTTGAAGTGAATTTTTAATACACTACGTCTAAGATGCGTTCGTGCAGATTTCTTAACCTTTACGCCCAACAGTAGGGAATATGCATAATACATTTGTCTAGTGTTTGTAGAGCATGAAAATGCGCCTTGGAGAACTAATAAACCATATTTGTATGTATGTATATCGAGAGCCTTAAGGTATTCAGATTCCTACGCCTGGCTAACCAGTTATGCGTCCATATTCTCTGTAATCAAGATTAGAGGCTTAACATCTTCACTAGCTATAGCAGGTGCATCAAGTGGTCAGTCCGTAAGGGTATAAGACCGACTGGCATACATTCACTAGGCTGCGGCCACTCCTTACATCTTGTCCTTTTCGCAATTCTAAAGTTTTCAAATTTTTGTATCGTCGTGTGTCTTTCCCTTTTGCTTTAAAACTGCACATATCACCCAAACAGCTGGCCCATAATTATCAAAACGGCATATATATCATATTTAAAAGGAAACTTTGCTCAACTCGAATATATCTTTGTTTTTCTTTTTGCTAATGGAATCATTAGCCGTATGGGCAGCATTTGTATATAAAGTTTTTCTTGAATCGAATAGTTCCTTCGATAATTACGAGCGTGTCTCGTAACTAATAATGCTAGCACTGTGTGCCCATAAAAGTTGCCAGTTGGGCTCAACTTATGCCTATTTTCAAATTCCAGTCATGACATGCATTTAATGATGTATAGGTCAAGTTTTCTTGTTTTCTCTCAATTTTTTCTAATTTGAGAATTGCAGATTACAGATAGACGTAGGGACATCCAGATGAATATAGTATAGGTATAGTCAAATTGACTTGAAATCTTACAATGATTCTGAGTGACTTGTCTTTGAAATGTCCCTAAGGAATGTCACTGTCCACTAAGAGCGAATTGAAAAAAATTAGTTTTGCCCTTAAGAATAACCCATGTGGTGAATATGAAGAAAATGGCACACAATTTTTTCTTCATAAAAGCAGTTAAACTACTGAAATTCATTTAGTCATCTACATTCATAAAACATTTAACATCAATAAACAATGTATGCGGTTTAAATTGAAACGAAAACAAACAAAAAAGAAAAAAAAACTCTTTATTGTTACGAAAACTTTTCAGATTTAAATTAGTTTTTAGCACAACAGGTTTTGCGCTTAAGTCTTTCTGTCACCTTAGAAAATAGATTAAAAATTCTGTGGAATGTAAATAGAAACAAGTCGATATTTACAAATATAATTGAATAACTAAAGATTAGTAACAATTTGAACTAATTAGAGTTGATTAGATTGTTTTCGCGAAGCATCTAACAGAAGTTAAAACTTTTTTTCTATTTATATATAATAAAAACTCTGCCTGCATACTGCATACTAACACCATCAAATTAGTAAAGAGGAAATTTATTTTAACCTGGAAAGCTTGGAAATGTTTTAAGGTTAATAAAGTTGAACTGCATCGACTATCGGATAATAAGCAAAATAAGGCTTATAATAAGATTTACATATGGCCTTGTTAGATATAAAAATAGAATCGAAAGGAAGTTAAGGTAGAAATAATGCTTTGAATTTTAGCGTCCTTCTCTGTCGATTTCCAGAATATGAAAAGTGTTTAATTTTCTAAGATAATTGTGGGATATCTGTGTTATCTGGATCTAAAAGTAATTCTTCTTGACCATCGTTTTTGCCTTACAGATCTATTGAATCAGCACACATGGAAACATGAATCCGAATTTTGCTCCGCTTTATTTTATGCACGTCAGAAAGCCGTCAATTATCACTCCTTTATAAACCATTGCGACTCCCCATGTCTGCTTGAGTCCATTAATGCATCGCAATTTTTATAAAATTTGGGTCGATTAGCCTTGCCATCAATTCTGTAAGATAAACATAAAACACATGACACATTCTCCAACCTACTTGTTCTTCAAATATTTTGAGGGGAAAAGCGTGAAATCGTTGAAGAAATAAAAGAAATCCTATTAACATACTCTAGACGCTTAAGATCTGGCGGAAAATGAATAGTAAAACTTTAAGCTTAACTGTAGAAATGTATGTCGACTTTTGTGTTGTCATGTTTTTCCTCTCATTTGAACCATTATTTACTTAAGTCTATTAGGTGATGTAAGCAGACCCCGTACAAAACGGAATTCAAAACTGTCGAAATACTTACAATCGGCAAGAATTGCGGAATCCGATGAAGATGCTAACACATCTAACTTTTAATGATTTGATTTTGATGCGAAATACACGGCCGGCCGTCTTCTTACTATTACTGCGCTATTTCTTTTCAGTGAATTCAAAGGCAAAGCCTACTATTAAAAATGAAACTAAGGCCAGGGCAGTAACTTCTCAAGGGGAAGTCAAAGGAAATTGTGATTATATGCCTTTAAAGCGAATCCTGGCAATGGTTTGAACGTTAATCTTGTGAAAGTGTGTAAATAACGCAAATGCAACCGGAATACACAGCTTATACATGTAAATACTAGGCTTAATGACAAGATAAGGTGAAGATGAAATATGCCATCAAACTACAAAGTAAAGCATTAGCAAAGTCTATACAACTTAAGCCACGTACACTATGTGTCCCCAATAAAGCTTTTGGCTGCTGATTCGAATCTTAACCTGAATTTGGCCACATAAGGCCTTTAATGCGTGCTTGAACTTTGAACTTAAATTCTTTTGATTACTTTATGGGATCCTTTAAGAATTCTCTTCGTTTTACTTTAAGTTAGGAATTAACAATAACAAAAAAGCTAAGTCAGTCAGTCCTGTTATAAACTTCTGTTATTAACTCTTTCAGCAAAATGCGTATTGCTATACTACGATGTATATCACCGTGACATAGTCAGAAAGGAATTTCATATCTTGGGCAGGAAGAACGCAATGAAGGAATACAATTCAGGGCTGAATTGCGTTGAAGAACTGTGCGTATCGTTTCAGAACTGCAGCAACCGTAATATGAAAGTTTGTAGATTTCTTTATGAACTATGAACTGAAGCAAAGTTTATGCAGAACTTACATCAACAAATATTTTTTCCTATTTTTTGAAAGTTTTCCTTTTTTATATACGGTTTATATGTATGGTTTTATGTTTATATATAGCTTGTTTGGATAAATAAATGAATTTAACATATAAACAATCAACTCTTTTTTTACGCGCTAAATGTGTTGGAAATTCGTGCAAAAAAAAATTGTGTAAAAAATAAATGCGATTTATGGTAAATTCAAAATTAGAATAAAAAAAAACGTTTTTTTTTGGGTTCGTGTTGGAACAGTAAATTCTTGTAAAAACAGTGTATTTGCTCCCTTGGTGAACCGTGTTATCGTGAAAAAAGAGCGTGTAAAAGAAGAATTGGATGTATTCCCGCGATTTTCATGAGTGCGATATCGTGGTATGATTCGTTACAAAGACATGGAAAGTTTTTCAAAGAATAATTAAACATCACCTTTCGTTTCGCACAAATATGCTTTACGTTATTATACGAGAAAAGAAATATACTATTGACTTCTGGATCATTGCAGTTGGACTAAAGAATTTACAGTCCTTGCATGTAAGGCTATTGTGCTTTGAGATTTGAATTCGCGACCATTGATTTTTTAGTCGAGATCCTCGAAGTTTTTCTTTCCTGGCAAAAGTTTAATACGAACGTACACTAGTTTAAGTCTGCCGTCAAGCTATAGGTATACTTTATAAATTGGCCGATCTGTACATTTATGCGTTATACACAGCATCAGCCTAAGAAGGCAACAAAAGCTACAGTGATGCCACTTAAGTAGCATAGCGATTACGATTCTTTAAGGTTAAGGTTGCTCTTGGCAAATTTGCATAAAATTTACATTCCAATATGATAAAGTTACGCAGGTGTTAGTGTATATATATATATACATATGTTTTTGAAAATTTTAATTTAATTTATGTATTTTTTCCATTATAACATAAAATTACATATGAAATCTTGCACACATATACAGATACATACATATGCATATGGCGGCAAAATTTCTTTTAGAATTATAAGTCGATAAATCACAAGCAATTTTACATACAAGAAAATATATGTACTGTGTGCGTGTGTACACCGTAAACATGCTTATACGTATGTACGTATGTAAATGCGAATTTATCAAAACTGGTACTCAAATTAAAAGAAACCATAAGATGCAGTATTTTTTTTTTTTATTTTTCTTTTTGGTTTATCGAAATTCATTTAACGAGTGAATTTACTTTTACCACGCCTCAAGTGTGTTAATGAATGTTCAGCAAGAGTGAGGGAGTAGGCTATATAGATACAACAATAGCCCTACATACATCTGACTAACAAAAGAGATATGTATACATGTATTTATATACAGAGTTATGTATACATGTATATATATATATATATAAATGTACATGTGCTTACAATGAAACTTGTTACGGAAAGAAAGATCCCAACAGACCAATACAAGAGGATAAAAAAAAGCATTGCTTGTACCCACGTTCGTATATAGTTTCATACATAAATATATAGGGATGTGTATGCACGTGTGCCCATCTTGTTATTACTACAGATATATAAAAACTTGTTTACTTACATTTGTAAAGTTGTACTACGCACACATACATATGTACATATATATATATTTGTATATATATAAATATTTATGTATATATGCACATATATATATATATGTATATATGGGAAGTTCGAAAAGAAATTTTTCATAATATATAGAAAATTATGTTTTACATACGGATTCATATATAAGCATATATATATAAGCATATCAAAGACTGATTTTTTTTTTGTTTCTTTTCGTTTTTCTTTGTTTTTTTGCTATTCTTTTAGCGATGCAAAGATAAATTGGATATATTAGCCATATCGGTTATAAATCAATGGCCAACGACTCGTTTAAGAGTAATTGAAAGCTGGGATGAAGATGGCGAATACTTGCACGGTAAAAACTCTTTACACTATGAGGGACGAGCTGTAGATATAACGACAGATGATCGTGATACTAGCAAATATGGTATGTTGGCACGTTTAGCTGTAGAGGCCGGCTTCGATTGGGTCTATTATGAAAATCGTGATTATATACACTGCTCTGTCAAATCAGGTAAGTGCATGAAACTCATACGCGTTTATCAATTAAAATAAAAAAAACATAATAAGAGATTTTTCGCTTGGAACATAGTGTTGATAATGAATATACCTGATGTGATAATACCTGAATCGTAGGAAGTCAAGTTGAACATGGTTTAGAGTATCTTTAAAAGTCTTCACATCCTTGCAATTGACGCAAAAATTTGAGGCAAATACGGATAAGCGAAAGTTAGGCAAATACTGTCCCGCACGTCGGTTATAAAACCGCTACGATTCCCAACATACCGTAAAATATGTTCTTAGTTTAATCTTGACAAATTTTTCTCAGTAATGCGCTTGTGATCTTTTGCATTAAATTTACAGACGGCCCCGATAAACATTTTTATTTTGTTGTAGATCGTTCGATAAAATGAATCGGACTTCTATTGATGGTTTTATAATGCTTGTCAGTCTTCAATACAAAATTCTACTTTCGATGAAAACCGTACAATTCCTTCTTTCCTTAAGATCATCTTATCTGTAGGGAAAAAGCGCTAACCCTGCTTGTTTTCGCTTAAAAATCTCAACGCACACTTGAAATGTTTTTTTGTAAGTAAAAATATTAAATTGTAATTACCTTTATCGAACAGATTTTACCATTGTCCTCTCTATACGAGCGGGGTGCAATGTAGAGCTTTTCGTTTAACGCATACATATTTTGGGCCAATTAAGGGCAATTTTTAAACTTCCTTCAAAAAGCAATGCTTGTTTTAAATTTCAATTCTACGTCAATTTTTGGAATGAGGGGACTGCCGGACTGACTAAATCATGACTAAATCAATTCAGAATAAAGAATATTTGCCTTTTGAACCTTTTAACGCACATTGCTGAACCTTAGCAATCCAAGAATACGTGATAGACACGTCGACATCCCTTCTTGCGGGATATAAAGAATAAATGTTTACACGAATTTAAATTTATATGCCTCCATTGTGAATCGAAACGAGTTCAAGCTATTTCACAGCGGTCATAAAACGTATACACGTATGCAAAATAGATAGAAAAAGAATCTTTTAGAATCAATTAGAACGGCATAGCGTGCTAAACGTCTTTGCAAGGCCAAGCAAGAATTAAGGAGCAGAGTAGTTCACGGGCAGGTTTCACTCATTTACTTCATGTGCTAGATGGACTTTTTGATAAACCTAACTGGCCTTGAAGTATTTGAACAGCAATAAGTAATTATTGATGATGAGTAAATATCTAACGGTAATAGTGCCGGAGGAAGGAAAACGGGTCTGAAAGAAACCTAGCAAGCTTTTAAATGATCTTTGCACAATATTCTTAGAGTGGTGAGATCTCGTGGCTATTTATTAACCCGATAGCAATTGAGGGAACACGGTTGACTGATTATCGCCGAATTTATTGAATCTCTGTGTAGCTGGAATTCTTTGAAAACGAATAGTAAAGAGAAATGAATAAACGAATGATGTGAAAACTACATTTTACAATTTTTCTTTAAGCAGAAACCACAAAAATTTTATAGCAAGAAAAGGTGGAAGAGAATCGTTAAACAAAACAATACTTATGCGATTGCATATAATTTGAAACGCTCAATATTTTTTCGGCAACCTGCTATATATATATGCATAATTTCTCACACATGTACATGTAGACAAAACAATTTGCTTTCCTATTCGCCTGTCAAGTCAAATTGACACTTCTCGTAAACGAAAGCTTCCTGAGAAATGACACTAACTGAGTGCAATTTGCATTCGTTCTATGGAAACATTCTTTTTAAAGCATTCTTTGCCTTCTTCGTTTCTTTTTTTTTTTTTTTTTTTTTTTTTTTTTTAAAAAAATATAACGGTTAGGTAATCGACTTAGCAGCTCGTTTAGTATAAGTGTTCATATGTAACGAACGACTATTGCTTACATTCTATCGTATTTTCAGAATCAGAACTATCTTGCGGTTCCTTTTCTTCTTTTTTTTTGTCCGGTTAAATAAAATCAAATTAGAAACGGTCGAATCATAAAACATTCATTCAAATGGTCTAAACAGAAAGACAACAACACCAACGGAAATTATTTTAAAATAACTCAACAAACTCGATACAAAATGTTTTTTTTTTTCTTTTTCATTCTCATGTCTTTTCTAACCGGTAGACACAAGCAAACATACTTATGCGCTGCTTGCATGTGTAAAAGTATACGCATACTTATGGTGTAGTACGTATATGTGTGTGCATAAAAAAAAGAACATGCATAGGTAGGTGAAAACAAAAACCGGCTTTAATGTTAAGTTAACCGCAGTATTGTTTATAAGAATGTTGTTGTTTTGACATGTTTAGGTTTGTGCCTGTCAAATTAAACGAATTGATGATACGACACCCAATGAGTTTCTCATGGTTTAGTAGTATATATATATATGGGATGGAAATATGGGATGCGTACATACATATACTTACTTATATACAAATATTGATATAAATATAGATTAAATATCTATATATATATAAGAATTGATCTATCTATATATAACATTTTAGTGTATATATAAAGAGAGACAGAAAAAAAAAAAATATATATATATATATATATATGTACACATATATAAGTATATATATATATATATATATATATATATTTACAACCCAACTAAAGTATATGTATGGATACGCTATCCAACCCATCTAGCATCTCCCAATCCTATAAACTGGTCCAACGTATACCATAAGAATCATTAAGAAGCTGCTTGTATCAACGGATCACAAAAGAGGGAAATGTATTTAAAATTGAAGCTTTTTCCATCAATAGTGTACAAGTATTGTAAATGTTTTTAACCGCAAAAGACATAAAAAAGTGTTTTTATGCTCTCAGGCAACAAAATCACCATTTTAGCAACATGTACCATTTAAAATATCAAAAAAAGCAACAACAACAAAAACCAAATACCTGTTTCCCCAGAAAATGGTATAAAAAAAAAAAAACACAAGCTTCCCATTCGTATCGGGCAAATAACAACAAAGTTAATGAAATTCTGCCAGAAGTCTTACGAAGCAGCCAAGATGATCTACCACGCGAATAACCAACCACAACACATTAAAAATCAAATCTTCAAACAAAAAAGAAAGAAAACAAAAAAAAAGATAGTTTAGTAGCACGCAACAACCTTTCTGTGCTATAGTTATCAAATCTCCATTTATAAGTTTTGCCTTAAAGTGATGAGTTTTGCATTAAAAAGAAATTTCGCTCAAAATTTTATTTATATTTTACGAGTAAACTAACGTCATCGGTACGTTCGTAGTGAAGTCCATTCATTGACGCTACATGATGATGGAGTGCTGTGATTGACTGACTGTACGTCTCAGTTACTTACATTTTGAAAATTTCAAAAACTAATATACAAATAAGTAGAAGCATGTAGCGATCTTCGTTATTGCTCTAAACATTTTCCAAAATAAGGCATTTTATGGGAAGTGATCGAAAATGTTGTCTGCTCAGAATCATTTGCAATAGTGTTCGTCGTCTCAAAAATTGCGATCTGTAGGTTGAAAAGAAGAATGCAAGACGGATAGACCGACAAAAAAGTGATTCTGAATCGCCCGACATAACAAAAGATGGGTCTATCTTAAGTCCTTCTGGATGTTGCACCATAAGTGGTGTAGCCTTTGAAAATATGTTTCGCAAAGAAATGCTTCGAAAAGCCATCTATCCTAAAGATGAATTGACTTAACTTGCTTGCAATAGTCGAAAACCCACATAAGCATGTGTTGTTCGTCTATAGGGTCCAAGGTCCTACTAATGTAATTTAATTGCATCTGGGAATAAAAGATTCTCAAGAGGTCAAGCTTCGAATAAAAAGTAAAGCTATTTCGATAGATTTTGTTTGCTCATTATAAACTTTTCGATTCCTTAAGTCTAATGGAGTCCTAGCAAACCAAGTAGTAATAACGAAAATTTTGTGGATTTGGGATTTTCAATTTTTTTTACGGGAGAAGAAGGTGAAAGTTAATTAGAGATGGATTTTTGATTTTGGTTAATTTTTTTATTAAACGAGGGATCTTCTAACTTGGGTAATAATTTTATTTTTCCTTTATATTATTCAGAAATGAACAGTGTCATTGAATTTCTCAGATCAGGAGTAAAATTTGACCGATTACGATAACAAAGGGGCCCAGCATAGTTGATAATTTTAATAACTTAACCTGTAGAATATACCTAAACTATAAGGTTAAGAGATAAAGTGACAAATCACTCGTGTTGCAAAGAATTCAACTGTAATTTTCCTATGTTGACCTTACGTGAGCAATATTGCACTTGTGCATGCGCTTGACAGAATACAGCTTCGATTGATTCCCGATCAATGCTATTGTTAACAAAAGTTTTTGCAATTTTCACATATATTTCTCTTAACTGATCAGTATTCATCATTTGCTCCACAGGTAAATGTAATTTTCTTACTTCCTTGTTGCAGTTGTTGTATTACAAATAGTTACTAGCACTAAACAAGATCGACTTACTACTAATTTCCCTCATACACATTTCTAAGAATGCATATATTGTATGCGATTTCCAAAGAATCATTGTCTCTTCCTACACGAATAACTTCTTAGAATACAGTAAGATAAACACAAGCCACTAGGACTATCTGCAGATAGTCTCATCTTATATCAAAGGTGGTGTAGGGTATCGTAAATATTTCGCACATTTACGGCCTTCACCAGTCGTGATGAGCAGGGCAAATAGCAATCATTTCAAGTTGAACTCTCTGTATGTCTGCCGATCTGTCCGCCTGCGTTCTGACCTTTGTTGTGAACATCAACTTTGATGACAACTTTTGACCAAATTCGGTATACTGACGTGCTTTTTCCCAAGAACGCACGGCGTACATAATGTTCCATTTGAAAAAAATCGTTATACGATGAAAACGTTTTAGTACACCTAAAAAAATGTCGGTAGAAATGAAATGAGAAAAATAGGTAATCGTTGGGTACATTTTTGTATGACTTCTTACAAAAACAAGTCTTTGTATGATAACGAGATCGAATTTTTGGATTTTTGTAATGAAAGATAGTCCAACAAAGCGAATTGCACATAAACTTGTTGTGGTCTGTTTCAACTACGTACGCTCATTGATGTATTGAATATTATGGAGGATATTCACGAGATTCATTTATGTTTGCACGCACATGAGATTAGGTTTCATTCGATTTATAGCCAAAAAAAAATTTAACTTTAAAACTCGGCCCATCGCAAAATATCCTACAATATGTAGTTATTCAAATTTACACTTTATATAGGAAGTGACCGAAAAAGTGACCCCATCTAAACCATTTTTAATAGTGTTCGTCCTTGCGCCAAGACACGTTGAGATACCAAATATCCTGAAGATGTCTCAAAAATTGTGACCTGAAAGGTGGAACTGAAAAATAGTATTGTGGACAGACGGACAGACAAGCGTGTGAAAAGTGATGCTGAATCGATCGGTGTATTAAAAGGAAGGTTTAACTTAAGTTCTTTTCCCTGTTCTATACATCCGCAAAAACTTAATACACACTTAGGCCACCGACGGGTGTAAGGTATAATCAACTTTGCATCAAATATTATTGAGCTTCAAACCCCGTCTAACTCTGCTTTAAAGGATACCAATAACAAACATTTAGACAAATGTTTACAACAGAAGAATAACGAAAGAATTGGATCGAAGAAAATTCAAATGCGTTTCTGCTCTTAAGTCCGGTAAATCAAGGAAAAACTGGTCGGAGAGGGAGAGCGAGAGCGAGAGGGAGAGTGCCTACAAGTAGTAGGCACTAAGTAATCAAATACGTAGCAATCATTACCGCAATCAGTGCGGCAACTGCAGGCAGTTTGTTTCACGTTCAATAGAGATAATAATTAATATCGTGCCAATAAGTAACACACAACCGAACTTTTTACAAAAGTGTAAGAAGTAATTGAAGATTGTTGTTCTCTATTGTTCTCGTGTTCATTCCCACAATGCGCACTGCAACCGTATCAGGTAACATATCTAATTTATATTTTGTACTTATGTGTGTACGGTTACACACTATACAGTCAGCCAGCCAGCCAGCCAACTCTAACCAACGAACTACTCTATAATCAGTCTCCGGTACATTGTTATTTATTTATGGTACAAAATTATTTTAAGCTACTTTAGCTCGAGTCTATACTCGGTTAGTTTATCTTCTGTTTTCCTTTTTTTTCCTCATTTTTTTTTTTTTTTTTTTTTTTTTTTTTTTTTTTAATCTTTTAAGAAAATAAGATCAGATAGCAAATCTGTTGTGCATCTTTCAGGGATGTTGATATATTGCCGACAGTTAAATACTTGCAAAATATAGTTTGTTAATACACATATAAAAAGCAGAGGGAGAGATGCAACCAAACAAAATAAAAGAAACAATGAATGAGAAAAAAAAGTGCAACTGTCAAAACCACTTTGACTCCCATACAATTTTTATTTACTAATCCATGCAAAGATATTTGCGCATAATTTTGTAAGTCAGTATTACATATTTTGAACAGTAAATTGGATTAGGATTCAGTTTCGAATTTTTGAAAATGGCTTTAAAAATTGTTTTTCCTTCCTTTTTCCTTTTTATTTTCAGATTCGTTTCATACGCCTCACGATAGTGGCTGCTTTACGAAAGATAGCATCGTTTTGACCTCAAATGGCAGTACAAAGGCTATGAGTGATTTAATAATTGGCGATCGGGTGCTTAGCGTAAATGATCATGGTGAACCGATATTTAGTGAAATAATACTTTTTATGGATCGTAATTTAGAGCAAACCGAACAATTTATTCAGCTAACTACTGAAAAGGGTGCTGTGCTTACGGTGACGCCAGCTCATTTGGTAATGATTTGGAATCCGGAGAAAATGCTTGCAAGCTATGTATTCGCTGACCAAATAACGAGAAAGGATCAAGTATTTGTACATGATTTTACCAAAGCTTTAAGACCGGAACGTGTTATCAAACTTGAAACAGTGACGAGAAAAGGCGTCGTTGCTCCTCTAACCAGAGCGGGAACTATTGTTGTTAATTCGGTAGCAGCTTCCTGTTACGCTATTGTAAATAGTCAAAAATTGGCTCATTGGAGCCTGGCGCCTATGCGCTTATGGTCTAGTATTTTATCTTACATGCATCCAAGCAATCAGTCAAAAGAGACCGTGAAAGAGGAGAAAAGAAAAAAACGCCTCGCTGTAGAAGAATATCAAAGCGGTGTTCATTGGTATGCCAAAGCTTTATACACAATAAAAGATTACGTATTACCCATAACGTGGCGTCATTAGCTCTCCTTCGATGTTGTCGTGTATAGGGGCACAATAGATTTGTCTTTCATCATTTGCTTACACGTTTTGGATTTCCTCAATAGAGTTCCTGTTAACAACATGAATCTAAGTATAGACATTCATTTCGCAGCGCTTATATCGAATTTTTCTCCAATCAAGTTAATTGAGAATCGATTCCATCTGACATATATATATGTAAAAATTACCCAACAAAAAAAGACTTTTTCCCTGATTGTATTGTAAATAGAAAGGGAAAGTGAAGAACAATTTCGTAAGGCTCTCTTAGAATTCATCTTTCGGTTAATGAGGAGGATTTCCTTAAAAATTTCCTAAAGTTTCGAAAGAGTTTTTCTTAACGGGCTTTTGGGAAAATGACCCCTAAGACTTGACTACCTTTTGCTAAGACTTTTTACTAGCTCTGTATATTTATTTATTATTTAGAAAATTCTTTTAGATAAATACTTAAGAGAGTAAGCAGAGAAATCGGTTTATTTTGCAACATCTTAAGAAACATGCACACCTACCTTTTTTGGTTTTTTTTTTTTTTTTTGCTAGACATATATGTATAAATTAATTATAGGAGGGCTATAAGGACGGAAAACGTTCCTCGCTTCTCGTATAACACGCTCGATATACTCGATTTGACAATCATTAATCATAAAAAGTAGCAATTGAAATGAATTAATATAATTCCCACTTGGGCTGTTAAAAAGTTTATGTCTGGCCACCATATCGTTATAAGTGGCTTACGGCAGCTTACCTCTTAAGTAAACGTACTTGTGTGCGAAACGTTTGCTTAACTTATCGCATTGCGTTTATTGCTTAAGCTCTTGAAATGCCTACAAGACTTGTCACTCTGCCTGCTCGATTATTGATAAATGAACTTTTCGGATCGAATTAACGAGAAAATAATTCTTTTGAAATAAATGCGTATTCTTTTGGGGCGTTGGGGGAGGAGGTGCGGCAAGTTTTGGAGACCCTTTAGTTCAACCAAATATATTTGTTGATTGTCAAGCGCTTTAGAGTTACTTGATCAAGACCAGCATTTCTACCAGAGATATGGAAGGATGTACGTAAGTATGTTGTTAAAAACAATAAAATGAAATTTCAGTTTTTCGCCTTTGTGCAGTAATTAGTTTGTTGTAAGCATCTTTTTGGTCGTTCACTTTCGCACTTAGTCTAAGGACCAAAGTCAAGAATATATTATGTACTCAATTTCTTTCCTAACGTTAGAAGACCGACGACATGCGGACATGTTTGAATTGCTTTTAAACTTTCCGCCAATTGAAAACACGCACAATTACTACAGATAGAATAACGAAACTAGCTCCAGATTGCGGCGATAGAGTGCTTGAAAAAAATAGTGCAATATTTATGAAAATTACTTTAAAAAAAAAATTTTTTTGTTTAATATGAATAATAAAAAAAAGACTCTTATAAATTAAAGTTGAAAATTTATTTATTTTCAAAACTTCTCAGACTTGTCCACATTTTGGATTTATATAAAATTAACATTAACTGGCGGAGGAAAGTTTCTTTCCAAAATATTTTCAATAAAATCAACCTTGTCAAGTTTGAAAAATTCTCTACACACTGTCAGTGATTTTCTAAACAGAATGTATTCGATTTTCGGTTTTTTGTAAAAATTCAAAAATGTAACATGCACTTGAAATGAGACAATTGGATCCAAAAAAGAGCCTTTGAAGCGCACCGAGAAGAACGTTGAAAATAACAAATCAATAAAAACAAAATTATTTTGTAGCTTTACCTTATTCTATTTTAATTTCGGGTATATTTTCCCGCAAATCTTTTTTCCTACTTTGTCAAGAATAAGATAGTCCACGGTTCGACACTTTTCGTTCCACCAAGGTTATAATCAGGTAAGACCGTCATTTAAATACCCTACAGCACTTTGCCTAACACAATTCTTTACCTATTTTTATCATAAAATAGCAAAAATTACGTTGTGTTACTCATTTTTCCTAACCAAGTCTTCTAAGGAGGGAAGATCGACAGCCCTACCTAGACAGCGTTACCTTACCACGGTTCATTTATATATTAAAGTAGTATTACGCATCAATTTTCATCATAAACTACTCACAACTAGACCTTGTTGCCATATGAAGAATAATTGTTGGCCAATTCGTTTATGTGAACGGAGTGGTCCTATCGCATTTGAATTTTCTATGTTCCTTTAATATAACTATTTTTCCATGATTTACTGTTAAAAATATGAAAAACTAAAAATTCTTCTCTTATAACGACCTACTCAAAATGTGACCATGCGTGGGCAGTAGCCCGATCCAATTCAGTAGCTTTCGACCTTGGGTCAAAACAGGCCAATCTACCAACTTTTAATAAGAAGTCTCGAAAGTTCTAAATTCTACATAAGCAAACAGATGGACAGTCACTTAAATTTTACATAGAAAATGATTTTGATTCAATTGGTGTAACATCGCAACAGATTCGTCTAACTAGGGATGTTGCATACATCGTCACGAACTTAATACTTGACTATAAATACCTCATCTTTTCCATACATCTTTAAATTTACTTCTTGAAGCTTCGAATGATTTTAAAAGAAACACAAACACAAATGTGCATTATTGAGTCAACGATCGGTGATTTACTTCAGAGAAAATTTGAAATCACTTCTGGAATGCAAACAACTTAAGCCAATCTAGAAAATTGGATTTTGTTTTCTTTTTTTTAATTTAACCATGGTCATAGGTTCATCTGAACATGAAAGTTTTATATTTTATGAAAAAAAAAGCAAAAATGTATTGAAAAGTTTATTTCTCGTCCTTTGCGGGGCTTTTTTTCCTTCAATAGAATTTAAAGAAAAAATTATACACGCGATTTCAATCAAGCTTTTTATTACTATTTTTCCCTATCACTATCATTTTCATGGTCAGTCAATATCTGTTTAGTGCATATTTTTTTCATTTTCATCCGATAATTTATGGAGTCTGTTTGATTTATGTTAGGTGTATGTATTAGGTGTTGCTAATGCTTTGCCGGATAAGTTTTGGGAAATCAATTTTATACCTTGTCCTTGTTATATGTGTCTCTGTACACTTTATGTACGCTTTAAGTAGACATATGTCACACGACCACTTCAAAGACAGAAGATAATAATTTATGTATATTTAATGAATAGATTAATTTCTCAATACATCTAATTAATTTAATTTGTACATATATGAAATTCTTTATTCACATGTAAATATGTAATTTCTATATTCAGTGATATTGTATTTTACGTTATTATAAATGTATTATTTGTATAAAATTATTTCGTCTGTTGTGTTAAATCATAAAAATTAATAAAATTAATTATTGGAAAAATTTGGAAAATTGATATAACTACTTTTATTTTGAAATTAATACATCATTGTGTAAGTATTAGTTAATACGAATAAAAACTGCTATATACTATGCCTCTTATCAAAGGAATCGGAGGATTAATCGGTGGGCTAAATATATATGTATGGTTCGGGAGGCAAAACTCTGCTGGTCATCTTTCTTGCATTCAATATATCAAATGAGATATTATATTTTTGAATTAGAATACCAACAAGATAAGGATTTCAGTGTACTATGATTTCAAAAGTCCATCGACTTTCCTGATTTTGAACCACATTTTTATTTAGTTAACCTTTTACAATTAGGCGAAAATGTTGAAAATCATAGCTCATTTAGCTTCTATCACCTCAGTTCAATATAAGCATCTAAGCTATTGATCTTTAGAATTTTTTTGGAACAATCACCTGAAAGGAAGTTCATGTTAACTCGATCGTTTGATCGCATATCCGAAGTAAACTTGCCACTTCGAAAATGTATTTTTGTTTTAATTTCAACAATTAAATTATCAGATAAACGAGACCATCCTCCAAATGTTTCCAGAACAACAAAAAAATGGCAAAATATGTTCATTATTAACCCTAACCGGGCCACGGTGCGCCTTTCTCACACTTGAACTTCGATTATTTCATACCGAGTTCCCAAAAAGATATATGGCCCGATTACATTATGTTTTGCCGTATTTTATTGCCTGCAGATAATTCTACTTGGCAGATCAAGGCGACCAGGCGTGTCTCTCGTGGGATAAAAGAAGACTACTTCCAATGCCTTTCATTCCAGAAAACAAGCAACGAAGCGGCTGCTTGTTAAAGATTATGTGAAGCAATGGGAAATCAAGTTGTAAAAAAACGATTTACCAAAAATTCTTTCCGGGAACTTCATTGCCAAAGAAGATCGTTGATCTAGGCGATAATAACATGGGAGTTAACCCACAACTTATCGCTTGTCAATTACAGAGGCGATTCACTTGATTGCTGAGTAACACCTGAACACCTCAAACATCTTCAAATCCAAATGTATTATTTAAAATACGGTAGAACTTCCCCGCCATCCTAACATTATAGCTTGTTTGAATATATAAATGAATTTAAATTGTAAACAAAAACCATATAATATTTTAATTATTCCCATGATACCCATAAATGACTAAGAGTAACATATGATTCGTTATGAAAAAGTGTTTTGCGATTAGGACTCATTCGCGATAGCTCTACATTCTAAGCAATCGATGGCGAAAACTTTGTTAAAATTATTATATTTTTCAATCGACTTTCTACTAAATTTTATGATATAACGTTTTCAAATCTAAAATGAAATCTCTTAAAAACGCACGAGACTGAAAGCATTTGTTGATTCTTAACTTTAATTTTTCGTTGTCCTTAAAAATAAATGCTGCTTCAAGCCTATATGAAATTCAATTCAACTCAACACAATTGCAGAGGTATTTCATGTCTATGGAATGAGAACTTTTAAAATTTCCTTAAGAACTTTTAAAATTTTTTTCTAATACTTTATTTCTTACAATTTTAAAAGAAGAAAATTTTAATATGTAAATATTTTTGTAAATAAAATCTATAATATAAAGAAATATTGTTAAATTTTCTTAAAAACTTGACAATATAACTCGCGATATAAAATAGATCTTTGCATGGAATGAAAGCGCATACAATACAATAGAAAAAATACTTGTAGTTTGTTAAAATGCAGATTGGATTGATTACTTTTAAAATGTAAATTAAAACTCTTAAAAATACATTAATGCGCAAAATTTACAGTTTTCGTAATTAATCTGACGTTGCGGTGAAAAATGTTGCGAAAAGTTAAACAGACGTAAGGCAACAATCCATTAGATAATAAATTTAACAAGTTATTCGCCTGGGAAACGATTCTTTGATAATCATCACCTCGGCAAATCTTAAACCTTAACCTATTATGGTTTGAAAATATTTTCTCAAGTGGAAGGCTGTCGGTTATTCAACTTGAATTGGTCTTAAGAAGAATGTGCACTAGCTTGTGTTTAGAGCGCATTCGTACGCGATTTAGCTCAGCGCTCGGTGATGTAAGGGACCCATACCCGCTTTCTTTTCAGTCTGCAGTAGTAAGGTCGCCATTTACAGCTACTGTTCTACTCTTTGGGGTGCCAATTATCGCTTACCAAATGAAGGCTTTGTATTAGTGTGCGACTTCGCGGCAGATCCTAATTTTAAACCCTGGGTACTTCTGTGGCATCCGTAAATACTTGCATTGAGCTTAAAACCGAGGTTCAACTTTTGTGGACACATTGTGGACATATTACTGACTGGTTCTACATTTTCAAATGTTTCAACAAGTTTACATTATAAATTTTCACTTTGTATTTCAATTTTGCGATCATAAGCAAACGGAAGAACAGAATACAAACACTTTCCAATGTTACAGACAGAAGGACAGAATCATGAAGGACACCTATCATATGGTGATGTTTATAAACATTCTTATATGAAAAAGTTCTCTGCTTCGTCTTTGTAATAGCGATAGCAAAAAAAAAAAAAAAACGAAAAGAAAACCTTCAGCGACACTAACAGTTAATAATCTTAGCTTAATTACAGAATTTATGCTAATAACTGATTTTAGAACCATTGAATAATTTCTAAATTTATACACATTAGATAACTACATAAAATATACAAAGATATATAATACAGTTAGGAAAAAAAAATGCACTAAATGTATCGCTAAACGCGTTTGTTCGTAAATCTAACCATAATCACACATGCACACTTAAAAAGACTATAACCGATGTTAATAAAAGCATAGAATGGCAAAAATACAAATTGCATGCATCACATTGTAGATAATCTCGTGGATATTTGGTGGCGGGAGGAGCTTCCTCTCGAAATCGACACTCCTCGCCTCGAGCATTAAAATGTTCACCGCATAATTCCTCACATCGAGGACATATAATGGTTCCTTTGTGAAGCCAACCATTCGATTCAATGCTAATAGCAAGCCGTTGTCCGGGAAAATGGCAAGAATAACTGTAATTACTAACCAAAATATGAAGGCGCCCGTCATCACAACGATAATTATAGCAACCAGAGCCCCAGTGCTGCCATTCTCTTGTATGATGGCATGTTCGTTCCTCCCACATTGATTCGCCGTGATCAAAACATTTCGAATTTTGGCCATAGTTTTCTAAAGCGTAATTTTTTTCTGGTTCTAAAATAGTTTCCGAGCGCGAACACGAGCGTAAAACAAAGAAAAAAAATTTTATATATTAACATGAAACTTAATTAGCCACCACCACTTATATATATTATATATATTGTTAAGAAATTGATTTTTGATTGGCTTTATAATCGATTGTCCCGATTGAAGCCATTCATTCGTAGACGAAGTCGTTCCAAGAAAATTTGCTTTTTTTTTAATATCCTTTACAATGTTTTGCTGAAATAAACCAGCAACCTTGCGTAAGTGGATAAGTTCACAGAAAGCTCCGTATATTTTCTTTTTCTTAATTATCTTTTGAACGTAGCCTTGCAATACCGCTTCAACCGGTAACGTGAACGAATTGAGTTACCAATTTTCGTTTAAGAGCGAAAAGTATTCTCTTCAGACAGCACTTTTAGGGAACTAAGTAAGGAACACTGCCAGACATACTTCTCTTAGACGCAGAGAGAACCAAGAAAGCGCTTTTGTTACGAAAATTACTTAAAATTTCCTAAACGAGAAATACTTCTTTCAAAGTGGAAAATGACCCAGAAAGAGGCACTGAAACGCAGGGCAAAAATATATCTCTTGGGCCTAAGACACCTAACTTGTTTAGCATTTCAGAGAAATATTCTTTTCACAGATGGAATAATTGTCTGCGTTAATGATGTTAACTTGTTAAAAAGCCGATTTGGATATGTATGTATTATTATTATTATTATTATTAATTTCCTCAGAGATATAAATTCTAAGACTAAAAACTCTTAAAAGCACTAGCATCTAAGGCTATCGGCTTTTATTAAAAACTCTACCGCACTTGAGATTCGAACCCACGACCATTGATTTGCTAGTCGCGATTTCTCGCCTTCGGCTACTTAGGCGGATGGATATTTATGTAGATGGATAGCTTTGTTAGTGTATTTGAAACTTTTTTTTTTCTTAGAAAAAAGAAAAGGCTTGGACATATTATTATTATTATTTTAATTTTAGACTAATGAATTGAATTCTTAGACTAAAAAAAAGACATTGAGCACTAGCAACACAGGCTATCGGCTCTAATTTAAATAAATGGATATTAGATAATAAGCTTAGTAGTATTAATAAAGCAAAATATTGAATTGATATTCTGTTCTGAAGCTGATTGTAGAATGTTCAAAGGGTAAATCGTTTCAAATGCAATACTTCTAGCCAAGGAAAAGTTGAGGCAGTCGCAGAGAATGTGCTTTATAGTAAGAGTTTGTCCACAACAGCAGATTGGGGGAGAAGACTTCTTCAGGATCCATTGGTGAGTTGCAATTGTATGACCAAGGCGAATTCTCGAAAATGTTTGGATCTTGGTTTTCTCAACATTTGTTGGATATAGAGGTGGAGTTAATTGAGGGTTAATGCAAGAGTAGTGTTGATGATGGTATTGTAAATTTCCTTCTGCAATTTTCTCTTTAACTTTTCTTCCAATGTATCTTTGAAGATCCAATTTTTCCAGGACATCATCCATAATTAGAGGAGCAGAAGCAGCATACTTTGCCGCTCGATCAGCCTGCTCATTTCCCAGTAAACCGATGTGACTTGGTACCCATAACATTTTAATTTTTCCGTCGGGTGTAGTAATTATATTCCTTAATTTGTTGATGGTGCTCCATCTCGAAGTCGAAGGGTTCCGGGTAGCTTGTAATACAGACAAACTGTCAGTAACAATGACGGTTTTGAGTTTGTTTTTATGGGCAAGGTTGGCAGCGTGAAGGATAGCTCTGGCTTCGGTTATGAAAGTTGAAGTGCTTTCGTGAAATATGTGGTTGAGAAGAACCCGTCCTGTAGCATCTACCACCGCACAAGCAGGAGGCAGACCAGGAGATTTTGAGCCGTCTGTGTACAAAAGATTCCAACCAG